CGGGAAGTAAAGTACCCCGAATGGTTCACAAACATAGTGGTAGTTCCTAAGAAGGGAAACAAACTTAGAATGTGTATAGATTATAAAGACCTTAATAAAGCATGCCCCAAGGATTCTTTTCCTTGCCTAATATCGATCATATGATCGATGTCATGGCCGGCCACGAGACTCTTAGTTTTCTCGATGCCTACTCTGGGTACAACCAGATAGTGATGAACCCGGAGGATCAGGAAAAGACCTCGTTTATCACTAAGTACGGTACCTAATGTTTTAATGTAATGCCATTCAGTCTAAAAAATGCTGGTGCAACTTATCAATGCCTAGTAAACTGAATGTTCGAAGAACAAATAGGAAAATCAATGGAAATTTATATTGATGACATGTTAGTTAAGTCCCTGCGAGCAAAGGACCATTTAAAGCATTTGCAGGAGACTTTCGATATACTAAGAAAGTAAAATATGAAGCTCAACCCCGAAAAGTGTGCATTCGGGGTTGGCTCGGGCAAGTTTCTTGGTTTCATGGTGTCCAATCAGGGAATCAAGATCAACCCCGATAAAATCAAAGCTATCGTGGATATCACAGTAGTGGATAATGTAAAGGCCGTGCAGAGGCTGACGGGGTGGATAACGGCCCCAGGAGAATTTATTTCGAGATCCTCAGATAGGAGCCACCGATTCTTCTTGCTGCTTAAGAATAAGAGCAATTTTGCATGGACTCTGGAATGCCAGCAGGCCTTGGAGGAACTAAAGTGGTATTTATCGAGCCCGCCACTGCTTCACACCCTGAAAGTGGACGACCAACTTTACCTGTACTTGGCAGTCTCAGAGATAGCGGTAAGTGGATTCCTAGTCCGAGAAGAACAAGGTACACAATTCCCAGTCTATTATGTTAGTCGGACCTTAGGTGAGGCCGAAACTAGATATCCACACTTAGAAAAATTAGCGCTTGCTTTAATAAGCGCCTCTAGGAAACTAAAACCATATTTCCAATGTAATCCAATATGTGTTGTAAGAACTTATCCTTTTCGAAATATTTTACACAAATCCGAGCTTTCGGGTCGATTGGCCAAATGGGCCGTAGAAATGAGTGGATACGATATTGAGTATCGACCCCGAACCGCCATCAAGTCTCAAATCTTGGCGGACTTCGTGGCTAACTTTACGCTGGCCCTCGTACTCGAGAATGAAAAAGAACTAATGATAAAATCGGGTACATCTTCAGGAGTCTGGACCCTCTTTACGGATAGTGCTTTGAACGCGAAGGGGTCCGGACTAGGCATCGTACTAAAATCACCCACAGGTAATATAGTTAGACAGTCTATTAGAACTACAAAGTTGACTAACAATGAGGCCGAGTATGAGGCCATGATTGCAGGTCTCGAACTAGCTAGAAGCTTGGGAGCGGAGGTCATATAGGCTAAGTGTGATTCCCTCCTCGCGGTAAACTAAGTTAACGGGACTTTTGAAGTCCGAGAAGACCGAATGCAGAAGTACTCGGATAAACTACAGGTGACCATACATCGATTTAAGGAATGGACCTTGCAACATGTACCTCGAGAATAGAACAGCGAGGCCGATGCTCTTTCAGACTTAGGTTCATCGGTCGAAGATGACGAACTCAACTCGGGGACTGCCGTACAACCCATGAGATCAGTAATTGAAGAAGGTCACGCCGAGATAAACTCTACAAGTTTAACCTGGGATTGGAGAAACAAATACATAGAGTACTTAAAGAACGGGAAGCTTCCATCAGATCCAAAGGATTCGAGAGCTCTGCGCACAAAGGCAGCATAGTTCACTTTGTCCGAAGACGTAACGCTTTTTAGAAGGACGTTCGATAGACCATTGGAAATATATTTGGGATCGGGAGATACCGACTACATCCTACGGGAAATTCACGAGGGCACTTGTGGAAATTATTCCGGTGCCGATTCGCTGGTCCACAAAGTAATCAGAGCAGGGTACTATTGGACCGATATGTGGAAGGATGCAAGGGAGTTCGTTCGAAAATGCGACAAATGCCAAAGGCATGCGCCCATGATTCATCAAACTGGGGAACTACTCCACTCGATCATGTCCCCATAGCCCTTCATGAAATGGGGAATGGACATCGCTGGCCCTGTCCCGTCTACCCCAGGTAAGGTTCAGTTTATTTTATTTATGACTGATTACTTCTCTGAATGGGTTGAAGCACATGCTTTCGAGAAATTCAAAGAAAAGGAAGTCATAGACTTCATTTGGGACCACATCATATGTCGATTCGGGATGACCTCCGAGATTGTATGTGATAATGGAAAACAATTTATCGGCAGCAAAGTAACTAAATTTCTCAAGGATCACAAGATCAAAAGGATCCTATCAACACCTTATCATCCCAGCGGGAACGGACAAGCCGAATCGACCAACAAAACCATCATCAAAAATCTTAAGAAGAGATTGACCGACTCCAAAAGAAAAATGGAGAGTTTTACTACCCGAGGTCCAAATAGGTATTTCGGCGAGGTTTTTAATGAGTCAACCATTGATCGTTCTAACTTAGAACAATTCAACAGTATCCGAGGCTTCTTTTCAATCAACCTTGAATACTAGGGGGCATTGCCCTCGAATATTAACTTTGATGCGAGAAAGTTATTTCATGGCAGCAGGGCCTCTATAGGAGAAATTTGTAAGGTTCAAACTGTCAAACGAATCGTGCTCGCGTAGTTTTCTCAAGCCATGGCACAGAACATGTACGCATGTAGAATCATCTATAAAGAGAAGTATTTTATTTACCGATATCTCATGCCTTTGAAAAAACAATTTCTACTTTACAATTTCATACTCTCGATCTATTATGTAAACAGGATTAAGGGCCGACCATAACCAGAGTTCGGATAATTACCCCCACGCGAGGGGAGTGCTATCCAAAAAATAAACGAGATTGAATTATTAAAACTCCGAGATCATAAGACCTTTTAGGTAACCCTCGATTTTTATAGGCCACGGCCACCCCACTCCGAAATTGACACTTCAAGCAAGCTTGAAGTAAAACGGGAAAATAAGCCCAAAAGGCAAATCCCGAACTAAAGAGGCTACGAACAAATTAACACGGGTCGGAGACGTCCGAATTCCGTAACAAAGCAGTCCTTCGAAATCTTTCATAAACCGGTTAAAAAGGCTACCCCCGGCAAAATCATAAAAGGCTTCGACAATATCAAGCCTCGAAAACTCTAATGAGTAAAAAATTGTTCGAACTCTCAAACAATTCCTTATTTCATGCTAAGGCTTTACAAGTATTGGAAATACAAATGATAAAAAACTTTTTCAAGCCGAAAAGGGGAGAAAGCCATAAACAATCTTTTTACAAAAGCATAAGGGCTATTTTTTGCTTTAAGTTCGAAAGATCATCGTCGCTCAAATAAAAAACCTAAGGGTTACCTTAATTCGAGTTCGAGCAAGGACTCACTCGATCGTAAAGCATAAGGGCTATACTAGTTCGGATTCAATCAAATTGTCTAAACCTCGGACCTTAGAATACAACTTCATAATTTTATAAGGTAGAAAAAAAGAATTTTTTTATATATATATGTCAAAAATTATTTACAAGGGTAGCATGGCCCGATAAAATTTCTCTACAAAAGACCGAAGCGGTCTTAAAAGAAACACAAAAAATACTAATCCTAAAGGACTTAGTCTTCTTCGGGAGTAGCATTTTTGCCCTCGAGGCCTTATTTGCTTTCAGATCCGCTCATACTCCCAGAATCATCATTATCAGGAAAGGCCAACACTTTGGCTTCAACTTCGAGCCCCTTAGAATTCTTGATCTCGGCTGTAAGATCGAAGCCACGAGCATGGATCTCCTCGAGAGTCTTCCTTCGAGACTAGCATTTAGCATGCTCGGCAACCCAGTTTTCTCGAGCCTGAGCAGCTTCGACAACCTCCTTTGCTCGAACCTGAGCAGCTTTAGCGTCGGACCGGTAGACGGCCACCATTGCATCAACATTAGCCTTGGCCATTTCGACCTCCGATTTGGCCAGCCTCTCTCGATCGGAAGTTGTTGAACCCAACCAAGAATGGAACTCCTCAATTTTCTTGGCCTGCACCAAGGCCTTCTCTTTCAAGCTTTGGAGTTGGGTCTCAACAAGCGCAGTTGAGCTCGGGAAACCTCCTTTTCTGAGGCAAGGCGGTCCATTTTCTTCTTCTATACCTCGGCCTCCACTTTCACTGCGTCCACTTCCTCACGAAGCTGCCCGATCACATCGAGCTTTTGCTAGACCTGTGGGACCAAACTGTTAGCCACCACCCCCGAGTCAGTTTCATTAACTTCAAAGATATTTTTTACCTGCTCGGCCAGATCAGCTTGTTTTTCTGAGCTGCTTCTAGGTCATCCCGAAGTCCTTTTGCTTCCCCTTCTCTCTGCTCACTAAGAAGCTTGAAAGCATCACTCTCCTTAGTAAGCCCTCGGATTTCAGCTTCTTACCGGCTCAACTCCCCTCGGGATCGGAAGAAAATCTTGTTATGAAGCACAGAAGCCTACCAAAATAGAAAGAAAGAATTATACAAGGGATGAAAAGTACAAGTATGAAAATTGACAAAGAAAATATGAACTTACCCGGTTCAGGGCCTGTTGGGCTTCGTTGAAAAGACAAGGCGCTCCCACCTCGTCCATCTGCGCTTGGTCTTATCCCGTGACCAAACATCGGAGGTAGCTAGCCACCCATACGGGGGAAATAATAACTCGGGCATCCTCTGGGATCGTGATAACGATTGTTCGCTTACGCCCAGGATCGGCACTAGGGGCCGAAAACTGATTGGTCAATTTAAAACTCAAGGAAGCCTCGCCCGAGCTCTTCTCCGGAGCCTCCAAGTCTCTCAGACCGGTGACATCTTCTACCCCAACAAAATAACCATGAAAAGGATCTTCTTCTCCGTGGGCTCCCTCCCCGTGACAAGTCTCCACAGCCTGAGCGTCACGTATCATCAACTCGGAAAATGAAGGAAACGAGGGGGAATCCCCGATCTCTATTTCCCCAAGTGGGTCTCTTGGGGAGCCTCAAGCCCGGTTTCTGTACCGACATCCACCGCCTCTTCAAGGGTCTCTTCACCCCGAGATAAAACTACTTCGGTTCCCATCGACTCGGGGACTTGGGCCGAAGTCTCCTCCTCTACCTCATCAAACCTAGAAGAAGCAGCATCAACTAACACCGGTTCTGGAGTTCTCTGAATCTCGGTGCTAGCTCGCGCACGGGCCACCAGCCCAAAATCAACTTCTTTCTGTTCTTCTTCTTCTTCTTCTTCTTCTTCTTCTTCTTCTTCTTACCTTAGTTTTTGGACTGACTACATAGTTAGTGGGATTGTTTTACCCTTGGGTTTACGGGTTGTTCTCTTCTTGGGTTTTTGACCCTCAGAGTTCGAGGCCCTTTTCCTCTTATTCTCCTTCGCCGATTTCGAGATAGGTGGTGAAACTTCTTCATCACCAAACATGGGTCTCATTGTCGCATCCTTTCCGAGACCTACAAATGGAGAAAGTAAGTAAACTCATGTTTGAAAAGATGCTTGAACGGTAGGGAAATCGGTAAGTCAGGAAGAAGGCTTACCATAAGTACAAACCTTCCACCGGCCCTTTGACAAATTGCGCCATGCGCGCTCGGTGTATGTCGACGTCGAAACCAGGATTCTAACCTAGTTCTCGAGACGGGGAACCGCACCCGGCATCCAAGCAATGACTGCATTGAGAAAAACAATAATAAGAAAGGATAAAGAAGTAAAAAAACGAACAAAAATTGAAGACGGAATCATACTTATGTTTCATATTCCATTTCTCAGGAAATGGCATGCTCTCAGCCGGGATTAGGTCTGTGGTCTTCACCCGAACGAACTGGCCCATCCATCCCCTATCTTTGTCTTCATCCATACTCGAGTTGAGCCCCTTGGTGGCCCGGCGCTGAAGCTTTATCAGCCCACCTCTATAGAGTCGAGGGCTATATAATCTTATGAGGTGGTCAAGGGTGAAGGGAAGCCCATCGATTTTGCTCAAGAAGAAATGGAGCAGTACACGATCCTCCAGAAAGAAGGGTGACAAAGCCGAGGGTCACCTGGTATTTATTGTAGAAGTCTACGATGACCAGGTTGAGGGGGCCCAGCATGAAAAGATAAGTGTAAACACTCAGGAACCCTTCCACGTGGGTGGTGATCACTAAGGAAACAACCTCTTTCTGCGGAACAATTTTAGATATTTTGGCCATTTAGTTTTTGTGGGCAAAGAAGAATGGAGATTGAAGTATTTGGTGTTTTAGGAAGAACAAGCAAAGAAACTCAAAAACCTGAGGATAGGAAGCTTTGGAGAAGGCAAATAACTATGGAGATTGGAATGAAAAAGATTTGAAAGTAAAGTTTGAAATAGTGAAGAAAGGGGGCTATTTATTGGTTTCACAACGACGGTTCAAAACTGATAGTGGTCGACCGTTAACTGACGCACATTTAATGCCTTGGTAACAGGACCGACGGGATGTTTGTCGCATACGTCACAATCGGGCTCTTCGCTGATGTCATTACTCATCTAGTCGGAGTTCGAAAATTCATATCGTTTCTCGCTATCTTCTTTCCGAGAAACGAGGGGACTATCAGTATACGGTCAAAACCGAGTTTGCCCTTCGAGATTGGAACATGATAGACCGAGGTTTATCATTGTAATATCGAGCCATGATACGAAGTTAGGTTATCGAGCTCGAGCCCCAGAGACCGATCAAGATCGAGATTGGCCAAGATCGAGCTTGAGACCTAGAGACCGATCAAGATCGAGGTCGGTCAAAATCGAGGACGAACAGATAGAGACCAATCAATATCGAGATCGGCCAAGATCGAGATCGGGCCAAGAAACAAAAAAGTTGTTATAGCCGCAAGTAGGGGCAGAATCTCGGCAGAAACTACGACGCAAATCAAGGAGAGACTTATTAATTAATCTATCATGGGATCCCTACTATGTATTCTTAATTATATCCAAAATAGGGTTTCTCCACTATATTAAGGGTTGTTATCATTTGTAGAAGGAGGCTCAGATTCATTGAGAGTCATAGAACATAAAGCAATATACAATCCTTTTCTAGCTGTGATATTTAGTCATATTGTTCTTCTATCAATCACCCTCCATTCAATTTGAACGTGATAAAATTTGAAGGCTTAGGCTAACTAATTCATTCGGTTTGTATTCATTTCTTTTACAGCTAATTTTGATATTCATTTACTTATTTTTCTCAATTTGTACCAAGTTATACCATGTATCCTTAGAACTACGTATAAATTCAATTGCTATCCGTTTTTCGGGTAAACATAGATAACAAAATTCTTACTAGATTTGTGAATTTTATTTTTGTACATATTTAATATATTTCATAATACAATTACAGAATTTAATTAAAATCTACTGAATATGAAACCATAAGTAGCCTTCTAGCTCCTCCACTAGTCACATATGTATGCTTCTCAATTTCCTAGTCAATTCAATATGATTGATGGACTACATATTTATGTTTCAACATAGATTAGTCAAGATGTAGTTGACCCGTCATATGTTTTATATATATATATGTATATATGTGTGTGTGTGTATATAGAGGATTCGGGTACGTGCAGAGGAGAAGCCTAGATGCCCCGGTTAGAAGGTGCGAGCGGTTGGCTCTAACGGGTATAAGGAGAGGTAAAGAGCGACCAAAGAAGTATTAGGGAGAGGTAATCAGGTAGGACATGACACGACTTCAACTCACCAAAGACATGACCATTGATAGGAATATATGGAGGGAGAGCATTATGGTTGAAGGTTAGTAGGTAGTTGAATATTTTTCTACTCCGCTTTGTGTGTAAGTCTAGTCGGTCAATGTCGTGTTTTAATATGCAAGTGGTACATGTTGTGCTCGTACTATTTTCTAGGACCTTGTCACTGCACTGATTATTGATATTGCTTTTTCAGGTATATTTTCTTACTCTTGGCTCGCTGGTACTATCTTTCTGGTTATGTTGTTGTCATTATTCTATTGTTGTATTTTATCTTCTGACTACTAAAAAACAGCAAATTTATGACTGAATAATTCCGATCGATTTAATTTAGTCGCAATTTTTGACTGATTCAGTCGAAACGTTACTAAAAATACATGTTAATTTTTTTAAATTTTTGGCTCAAAATTGCGACTGATTCGGTCGCTCAATTACGCGAAAAATACCGCGAAGATATAGTTTATGGTTTGGGACTGAATCAGTCGCAAAAATAAAAAAAAAAAAATTCAATGTTTCGACCGATTTGGTCGAAATCTGCAATAAAAATGAGGTATGACTGGTCAACGGAATTTGCGACCGAATTGGTCGCAATTTGAAAATTCAAACTTCAAATTTGTGACCGATTCGATTGCAAATATTTTTTTTGTAATACAACCCTAACCCATTTTTTCTTTTTTCCTCTTTCTTCTCTAGCTTTTTTGCCTCTCCTCCCCTCCCTTCTTCTGCCCCCATCTGCTCTATCTCTTGATTTTCTCTTCTAATCTAACCATATAAGGTATCATTTCCCTCCTCTCCCCCCNAGATTTTTTTTTTGCATTAATTTAGCAAAATAGTATGTATAAATTAGCTATATAATTTGCAATATAGTATAGATAAATTAGCATTATTCTTTGTAATATAATATGTATATAGTGACTTGTTAAAATTTTACTTGTTTAGATTAATTAGCTATTTTTTTATTCTTTTTAGTTAGATGTTCTTGTGAAAATGGCCAGTATACTTGTATGTATCCAATAGTAAATCAAGAAAAAAATTTAGAATAATTTGGATATGTTCTATAAGTATGGAATTCTTGTTTATATGAAAAACAACTAAAGAAACAACTTAAGTGCTTGTACGTCGTATAATTTAGGTTATGATAGTTAGAGTTGAACAATATTTTAAAGAGTTAGAATTTTTATACATTCAAGTTATGTTAGTTAAGAAACAACTTAAGTGTTAATACTTCTCTGTTTCGGCTTTTCGTTTGGAAATTCTACATGCCCTATCTATGTGTTAATTATATTATTATTTATTATTGGACAGAAATGAAGAAGATGCAATCAATTAAGTATTAGAGCGCTATCATATGCTAATTTAAAATAAATTAGATTAATTTTTATGTTTTAGGACTTTTTTGTCTTACAATTGTTTAATGTACATATTAATATTGAAACCACCCAAGTATTATAGTAAAATATATAATTAAACTATTTAGAAATTGAGAGAATATAACTTAGTAAGTAGTATAAATAAGATAAATATGTCAACTTCTAGTTGTTTTTGTTTGTGTAGATGGCTTTTGCGTATCGTAGATGGATATATAATAGGAATTATCTTAATCATGTGGGGTTAAGAGATGAATTTAAAGAAGGGGTTGCTGGATTTATTGCTAAGGCAAGGACACTTGATCATTTTTATATTGAAGGAACGATTAGGTTCCCTTGTGTGAAATGCAAGTGTGTTAAGTTATTGGGAGAAGATGTTGTTAGGTGTCATCTTTTTAAAAAGGGGTTTATGAAAAATGTCTGGAGTCATCGCTTGGCAAAGTGGAACACCCCTGAGTAGAAGAAGAAGAGTGAACAAGCAAAGTTAAATAGAGCTTCTACTAAGGATGGAGCGTTGCATACTGGAGGTTCAATTAGCTTTGCAGCTCATCGTTTGAGAATGGTAATTTCATTATAAAATATTCTTAGTTTTACAAGTATGCAAATTGAACATATATATATATATATATATATATATATATACTTCTTAATTTTCAGAAAAAGGGACGTGGGGGAGATGTGACTTATGTAGAGGTCTTTGGGGAGACCCACAAGAAGAAGAAAAAGGGCGTCACAATAGAAGGATGGGTCGAATCGCGTGCTTCAGAGATATTTGTACGATCCCAACACCAACACTATATTATTTTTTTCCTATTGGTTTATTTTATTTATATAACGTGTATTATTTTTATTTCAGGACAAGTATCATATTGATCTTAATACATGGTGACAAACTCAGCCTGAAGGAACTCAGCCGGTCCCGGAGGATATGACTGCAATTTGGACATAGGCGGCTGGTGGCGTGAATAAAGGTATAAATATTATGTAGTTATCTATTTTGGTATTAGTTTGAAAGTTGCGTGTTTGTTTTATTACTTCTTTTACTTTATTTTTTTTATTTCTCGTGAAAATAATAAATAAAGGCCGAGTCTACGGAATTAGAGTACAACCATCCTCTAGTCGTACACCAACAACATTATTCACTGGGGCATCAGTTTTCCAAGAAGACATGTAAGCTATGCGTCAAAAAGTGGATCAAATGTCGCAAGAATTTCAAGCACCTTAGGCTTTGATCCAAAAATTATTGAAAAGGAAAAGCAAGAAAGGAGCTGCAATGGAGTGTGAGTCTGAGGAGGAGACTGATTCTAAATAGGCTATTTGAATGTTTTAGAGTTGAAGTTAGAGACGTGTGTAATTTATGTTGTTTGATAGTTGGTTGAATTGTTATAAATTTTACTGTTTGCTTTGTAGTAAATATTAGATTTGGATTGTTATATTAGGTTTTTGGATTGTTATATTAGGTTTTTGTTTGATTTTTTAGGTGTTTGGTTGGCTGTTTTATTTG